TCCCGCCCTGCCCTGTAGTGGGCTGCCCGGGGTGAGCGCTCCGCCCCAGGACCTCTTTGTGATGGGGACAGGCGCGCTGCTCTCCTCTGCGCGACCTCGGCGCCCCACGTCTTGAGCCACTGGCCAGCCTGTTCTGGGGTGAGGTCTTGCCCATCCCAGCCATGCTCATGAAGCCGAGCCGCCAGTGTTCCCACAGGGCGTGTCGTCTCACTCTTCTGACTAGCTGCTGCGAGCAGGAGGCCTGGAGAGGCCCGCGTCCTGTGTGTTTTCATTTTTCCACCAGTCCAGCAGTGCTGAGGAGAGGGCATGTCTGCCGAATCTCATGAGGGTAGGGAGGACAGGCGGGGTGGGGTTGTCGCCTACTGCCCCCCCCACGGCGCTCGGCTGCGCGCTGTGGGGGCTGTCGAGAGAGGTGTCGCCGTCGTCGTTGTCAGGGTGCCGGTCTGGGAACCCACCCGGGCAAGCTGGTCTGACCCAGTCGATCGGTTGCTGGAGGCCGCTTAGGCTGACAGGCGGGACACCGAAGGAGAGCTCTAGGTGAGCGTAGAGCTGGCGGAGCTCTGCGTGCGCAACGGTGGGGAGATTCCTGAGGTCTGCAGCCTTCATGGTATCATCCCTTCTGGCCCTCCTCGCCCCTTGCGGTTCGAGTGAGATGAGGGCGTGGTCCGACAGAGTGAGTCTCCAAAGTTTACGGGGCTCGTATGCGTAGATCTGCCGGACTCCTGGGCATGCGAACATGTCGATCTGCGATTCGCTCTCCTTGTCGATTCTGGTGGGACCGGGCATGTGTATGGCGGCTGAACCGGAGCTGGTTAGAACGTCCCTCAGGAGGGCTGCGGCCTCCACTTCCCCATCTCTTGGGTGTTCGAGCTGCAGGTTGACGTCCCCGCCCCAGTATGTGTCGAGCGGCTCCCAATGCTCCGCCGCCATGGCGATTCCTGTGAGGGTGTCCTCCTTTCTGGTAGGAGGGGGGTACGCTGACACCAATCGAACTCTCTTTTCGCGTCGCTGGACGATCGCGGCAACGGCGCAGCCTGGGGCCAGGATCTGCTGCCCCAGGAGGGGCATGCCGTGGGGGAGGAGAATGCCGACACCTCCGGCGAGTCCTCCGGTCGGCCCGAGGTACCCGGGGGAGGCCACCAGAGTCCTTGCTGGAAACATAGTTCTCCAAACCTCAGCTTCATGCTCAGACGAGTGTGCCTCTTGGATCAGGGCGATCCTACTATTCATCGTGACCTGGGTCGGCAGCGCGTGCTTAATCTGGTTCTTGCCGGCTGTGCAGCTTCTGAGGTATCTCGAGTTCCAGCAGCTGGCCCTGGGCAGACTGTTTGGGGGGGTGGCGTCAAGGGCTTGCATCGCGTCTTCTAAGGTGAGGCTACCACGCATGGCGCCCCATGTGGGCTGCCTCCAAGGGTCGGTGTGTAAGAGAGACCAAAGGCTTCTCGGTCCGCGAACCTTGTGGTGGCGTAGGGCTTCAAGTGCCCTGTTGAGCGCGCGTCGCGCCTGCGCCCAGGCGCGCGCGCGTGTCCCCGGCGCCGGGGCGTGGCGGGGGGGGGGGGCCCAGCGCTTGGTGGAGCGTGCTGGGGCCCTCGGCCGAATCTAGGGGCTCGCTAGCTCGGACAGGAGGGCTTCTTCGCGCCGGAGCTGTTCCGCGATGTCGTCTGGGAAGGGGTGGTTTCTGAGCTGCGCCCACGGGCATTGTCTTCCTGCGTGCGCCCGTGCTGCGGTCCACGCACGCGCTATCTGGCTGCCCGTCGGGGCGGGGGCGTAGGCCGGTGCTTCCGAGCGCCCTGTGGTCCAGGCACGCATCGCGGAGACAATCCTGCGTTGAAGGCAGCGTGGATCGAAGTGTATGCCGACCGCGTCGTAGAGCGTCCTGCCGCTTACTCCGAGTCCGCGGTAGTACCCGACCAAGCCTATAGCTCTCGCTCTCACGTCTGCGTTGGGGGTCTGAGCCCGTGAGTTCTGCCCTCCTTCACTAGCCATCTTCCCCAGGCTCTGACCTTGTCTTCCGTGGCCGGGCCCCCCCTTTCCCTTCCGGCCATGACGAGTCCGAGACCTTCGGTGCACCCTGGAAATCGTTGCTCTGCACCGCAATCAGTAAGTATCTGCCTTGCCCCATGCTTCAGCTCCGCTGGGTTCCGAAGGAACCGCCTGTAGTCACTGTCTTCATTGTATAGGAGACATAGGAGGTGGGTCTGGTAGCTGCTGGGAAGGATGGCGTCTGGGTCGTCATGGGCGGTCCTGGACTGCGTCCACGTCGGGATCCTTCCATCTGGCCTGTATGCCCATCTAGGCCCCCCAGGGCTGGGGAGCCGGGTGCATGCTATCGTGCTGGTGGTGGGAGGGAAGTTAGCGATCCATAGTCGCTCTCTGGGGCTGGCCACATGTTCATCCGCGTTCAGTTTGACTGCCCATTCGGGGTTGAGCTTCCCCATGGCCATTATCACGGCGCCTCGGTGGGCCAGTGGCATGGAAGCCACGTTCTCCACGAGGACCAGGACAGAAACGTCTGGCCTTCTCTTGTTTGCGGGTACCAGGCTGTTGGGACAGCAAAGAAGTGGGAGGACTGAGCACCTGCAAAACCATCCCTGCCAGCATGAGTGCCTGCCGCTGATAGGTTGTCACAGGGGGTCCTGCCACTATTAGAAGGGTGCTGCCCTGGTTCAGGGAGTCCAGATTTTTTTGTCCAAGGGGTTATGTTGTCGTGGGGGTCTTTACGTCTGAAGAGATCCCATACATCTTCCGCTATTTGTCTATGCGGTGGGCCCCCGTCTTGTGGGTCTGGGGCGCTTGCCCATCTGCGCGCCACTGCTTCCGCCGCGGTCCTATTGTGCTCCGCGAAGGCCGAGGATCGAAAACTGCTGGTGGCTCCCAGCTTGCTGACGAGGTCGCCCACCGCGAGTCAGGCGATTCCCCAGCCGTCGAAGAGTGACACCAGGTGTAGGGGGGAGCGTTCGCTCGTGGGGCAGTGTTGTGCTGCAGGTCCGCCTCCCCCTGTCTCTTGCTCCTGCTGCGTGAAGTCCCGTTCCGCCGCTTCCTGTATTCGGAGCCTGCCCGCAATGTCGTCGACCGCCTGGTCGGGTCCTAGACGGATGGTGCCTTGTTCGTGCAGGGACTGTAGCGCGCCTAGGATGGTGTTGTTGTCCAAGCCTGCTACCTGGTAGGCGGCGAGCACCTGGTCGGGAGGGGCGACTGGGGAGAGCCCGGTATCGCGATCTCTGTGCTGTGTCCATGCCTGCTGGAGGACGTCGATTGGTTGTGGGGCTGCGGTGGGTTCGGTGGGCGCTGGGCCTTACCCTCCTCGTTCCTTCTCCCGGTCCTTGCAGCTCAGTTGAGGTGCGTGCGAAACCCCCTCTCGGTCTACTCTGCACTGGCACTGTTGGTTGGGATTCCCACATCGTTACCAGGGACCGGGAGTTGTTCTCTGCCGGCCTCGCAGTTCTCAGCCTTGTCCTGGGTCGCGTCCTCGTTCCCAGGGGGCCTGCCTGCCGGGTCCTCCTACTTCGACTTCTGTCTTGCCGTCGCACGGGGCCTGTCGGCGTCCTGTCCCTGTTCTGCTGGTTTGCCTGCTGCTGGTATTGGTGTTGGGCTGCGGTCACCTCTGCAGCGCCTACCCCTAGGGGCTGGCCCTCTGAGTTGGGAATCCTCTGCGGGGGGTTCGGAGGAAACCCTGCCTCAGCCTCCTGTGGTGGTCGTTCAGTGGGGCTGCCGTGGGGCGGGTCTCCACTGAGATTGAACCAGGCGGGGTCGACCGCCCTGAGCCTGCTGGTATTGGGGCCGGGAGTGTCACCCATGGCGACGGAGAGGATCCTTTCGAGGATCTCTTCGGTTAAGGGGGAGAAGGGGCATGCCGGCCCTCCCGCGTCAGGGATTCCGGTTGCTGCAGCTTGTAGGTGCGCGCAGGCGTCGTCCGCGGTTAGTGCCGCGTTCTTTGACAGGATGTTTCTGCCAGCGGAGCTCCTTGTGCCGATCGGCGGGTGTTGTGCCCAGTATGCCTTGAAGGGGGTGATCAGTCTGTGAGATAAGTGGGCTCTGGTAAACATCTGTCTGATCTGCTTTTCGAGTTGAAGCATGGAGGTGCCCCAGGCGATGGCGCTGAGTACTGTCCTCCACTCTGCTCTGTCCGTGCAGCCTAGTCCCTCCCACTGCGTAGGGGGGCCGAGAGCGCGGAACGTTTCTGCTGCGCTGCTGAGGAAGTGACTCCACTTGTGCCTCATACAGGGTGGCAGATGCGAGCTTGCTCTGGGGGAGTCGCCTCTTCCCAGTGGGTCGCCGGGCAGGCTTCGGGCGACGCTGTCCGGAGGGGGTCTTGTTCTACAGGTGCGGACTTGTGGTGCGTCTGGTGAGGATACGCGAAGCGTGAAGAATTTGGCTAGAACGCCATTCCTGGGGCTTCAGCCATACGAGCTCTTGATACTGGTGCAACCTTGTAAAACGAATGTGCTGGGCGCGGAAGCGAGAGCCACATGTTGCACAGGGACCGCCCTCCATCCATGGAGCTGGTGCGATCCTCTAAAACGACTTCGCGCGGCGTTGGGGCGAGAGCCACATTTTGAAAACGACCAGCCCTCCATCCTTGAAACCACTGCAACCGTTTAAGACGAATGATTGCGGCGCTGGGCGGAAGCCACATCTTGAAAAAGACCCAACCTCCATCCTTGACGCTGTTGTAAGCTTTTAAACGAATATGCGCGGCGCTAAGACGAGAGCCACATTTTGAAATCGGACCCGCCATCCATGCGGCATGAAGCTGTTGTACATGTCAAGCTTCACGGTCATGAATGGTGAGGGCGTCTCAAGCAAAACGCCCAGCCCGCCCTACCGACAGACACGTCTGGGAGTGCGACGAGCAAGAGCTATTTATGAGGAAAAGTGATGGAGGAGGATCAAGAGGATAATGATGAGGAGGAGGAGGAGAGAGAAGGCGGATAGAGGAGGAGGTGCAGGAGGAGGAGGGGGGGAGGAGCAGGAAGAGGAGGAGGAGGAGGAGGTCTGGCCTTTGGCTTCAGCCTGCGCTCCATCACCGCCTGGAACAGCGCGTGGTTAAGGCCGAAGGCGCTCTGGGCCTTGGAGCTTAAGGCCTGGACCGCAGAA